TAAATGTATTGTATACCTAAAATGTACCAATTAATATATAAATAAATAAATAAATAAATAAATAAATAAAATTGAAATGTCTATACAATAAGGAGCAGAGTTCCTGATATATCATAAATGTTCTCCCTGAGTTTTAAAGTATACTTCCTCATTTGTTCAAGACTCTCATGCATAGCATTTAACAAGGCCAGGCCACCCAGCAGCTATACCCCATTCTCACTATGTGCCAGTTCAGTCTGCTACGCTGCTGCCCCAGGAGCACAAAACAGAGATGCCACCCAGGGAAAAGGCAGGGCGCCCCTGATGAGGGTGTGCAGCCGGGACAACAAAACCCTGTCCACAGAACCCTAGGCCCTGGGTAACAGCAGAGAGGTCCTGTAAAGCTGCTATGTTGAACACGAATGGGACAGAAGTGCAAAGCTGACACATGAGAGAGAAAAATCATTGGCCGACACCACAGCCAATGGCCCTTGACATAACTAGGTTGTGATACTTAGCCCAACTTTGAAGCAAACCTGTACACATTTATCCAGTCAGTCCTGTTGGCTTGCAGTCCCAATTAAAGACTGAACATGCAGTAACTAAGACAGAAATCAAAATTACTACTGGAGCTGCCCCGAGGAGACAGGAATGAGCTGGGAGCCTCTGCCTGCTGCTTACTGGGTAAAAGGGGAGACAGAGGGAGCGCCTGGCTGCACTGCGGCGGTTACTTATTAACTTTAACAGCTAGCAGAAAGGAGTGTTTCGGTGACAATCATAACAACTAATGTACACTGAACTCTTGCTTTGTGCCTTCCTGGCTTAGTTATTAACTATTCACAATCTTAGGAGATTCCACGATCATCCCACAAGGAAATGTAGACTGAGAGTGATGTTTACCTGGGGAGAGTCACGCAGCTACTAAGCAGTAAATTCAGAATTAGAGCTAAGTCTACTCAACCTTGGAAATGAAGGTCTTAACTCCAGTTCTACATGTACTCTGTATCCCTAAAGAGTGACCGACTAGCACATCTTTCCACTCCTCTCCTCCCCAGAAAACACCAGCAGAATCATGATTTATAAATAATCCAAATATCTTTAGACGTTTCTGACATTTCCTTAGGGGAGCTGCTTTCAGAACATTACAATTTCACTCTTGAAAAGTGCATTAGTCACTATGGGAACAGTTAATTCATTGATAAGAGTGGATATCTTTTATTAATAAGGATACAATAGTGTATGTGATCCAGAATTTGTAGTTCTATATAAAAAGACAACCCAGAGGGGGAAAAAGAATGCATAGCATTACAGTATTACGGCCTCAGCACAGCCCACTGCAGTATGTATGTGCAGGATTTGGCTCCGGGGGGCCCATTTGCCATCTCCCAGGGCCTATTAAGTACAGGTCTCCCCAGACCTCATTTTCCAAACCTGCCACTTGCACAGCGGCAGCAAACTTCCTGCCGAGCACAAAGTGGTCCCCGTCCTCCGCACCCCATTCTCCTGGAGGGCTTTCAAGTGAAGCTGAGGTGACCAAACAGTTACTGGGCCTAATTAGTTCCCCGCCAACCAGTGCACGCCCTCCCCGAATCCCCAGGCCTTCCACACAAAAGCTGCAAATTGCTTTCCAACCTTTGAAGCCTGCCCAGGAAGCCCCAAGGAACAGCTTCCTAGCTGCAGCTTTAGTGCCCAGCACCCTCTGATCAAAAGCCTGGGCAAAGGGCAAGAGAATTGGCCCCCGATGGGCAGCGGCTTTAGAGAGGAGCTAATCGGGGGCAGCTGTGGGGAAGACAAAGGAGGGAAAACCCAGCCTCTGTGTGGGTTTGTCCATCAGAACAGATCAGTACCAAAGCCGAGGCCCTGACCACCCTGTCCTCCTCTTCCTCCTCCTTTGTTTCCTCCTTCTCTTCCACTTCCTAAAGGCCTTGGCTTGGCTTGGCTTGAGAGCTTTCTGCATCAGCGCTGCCCTTTGACTTCCGAACATGCTTTGCCTACATTTTTAAACAGCTGCGCTGGGATTCTGGCTCCATCAGCCCCCGGTGGTGCAACTCCGGGCCGCTTCTCTGACCCTCTAAGCCTCCGATTCCTCATCAGATACCGAGTTTGCATGCTAGCTCTCCTGCTGATATTGGAGGCAGGGAAAGCAGCTTCCCTCTGCCCCCTGCTGCTGTCATACGCCTGCGGAAACACTCAAGCGCGCTACAGCTGCATGGGGATACCTGCGGGTTTGGGGTTCAGGGAAACACACTGGTGGTAAGAGCCCGACCTGAGAGCAGACTGCTGGTGACACCCTCCTTCAGCCTGGGCAGCAGCCTGAGAGCCAGAGATGGCCGATCATGGCGTCTGGCAGTCAGTGGCCCGGGTCACAACTGTAGCGATGGAGTGGTGGCCGGGTGCCCCTGTGGGCCCTGCCTGGCCTAGACAACCCATCCACCACTTCAATGCCGCCCTCCCCCTCCAGGTTGCTGGGCCTCCCTCAGCCCAGCCAGTGCCCAGCAGTTCATTAACCTAGCCTCGCCCTCTCTTTTTCTCCTCCCCCCCCCCGCCCCTGCCTTTTTCTCTGTCTCTGTTGTCAAAGCCCAGAGCGTGGCTGAGAAGTATCGCTGAAAGATGCCCCGGGTTCAGCTGCTTCTGTCACCTCGCGGCACGGCACACTCTCCTCGTGGTGCCTCTCTGACAACACCCTCGCCTCTTTCACTGAGTCAGAAGCACAGGAATCCTCCCCTCCAATCTACCCCGGATTACAGCGCAGACGTCCAGGGTGCGTGCTCTGGAGCTGGCTGTGACCGTGACTCCGGCCTCACTGAGCTCCAGTCTCCCCATCTGTGAAGTGGATGGTTCTGAGGCTTAGACGAGGAGATGCACAGAAAGCAATTAGTTCCATAACTGACGCATTAAGTCCCCATTAAGCATCAGTTACTACTCCTTATTATTGTGTCCATTCCCTCTCACATATTTTTGCCTTCTTTTGTGTTTCTCTTGGGAAAAATTATGTTCCTCCCTCCTTACAAGATAAACTCCCTTTCTTGTTCCTTGCTAACCTTTTTGGATTATTGCCCATTGATTAGGTCAGCTTTATTCAGTATTAGTGTCTACTCCTCTCCTTCCAACTATTTCTACCCATATGTGTAAATAACTAACACAAGAAAATACAAACAAGAAACACAGGACAATTCTCTTTCTTAATAACTACAGAAGTGCATATCAAAATATTCTGAACTTCTACTTTAGAACTAATAATAATAGAAGCATATCCATTCTTTCATCCATGCTATTTTTCAGATGGCAAAACACCATCAGGAACTTTGAAGGAAAATAGATAAGGTGGTGTGGCTATAACGTGGCATAATCTTTCCAGAAAGCAATTTAGGAGTGGTGGCAGGAGTCATAAAAACTTTTATACTCTTTGAACCACGAATTTACCCCGAGAAATTAAATGTATTATGCACCAATGTGTGAAACTGTCCTACATATTATCACATGAAACTGGGAACCGCCAGTCCTGGGGCTGGAAAAGCAGCTCAGATACTGCACACATGGGGATAGGACATAGGACTTGATGTAGCAATGTTGTTGGAAGAAAGAAGAAGCTATTTGTTGTGCATTGCTGTTTCCGTAACTGCCTTCAAAAACTCCGTGCAGGTCTGAAATGGACCACACAGAAATGCGAGGAAAATAGAATTTAGAATCAAGCAACCATAAAAATAACAAACAATAAAACATTTGTCTTTTAAAGCCATAAAAGAGAAACAGGCAGTGGAATTTTGAAACAGTTAGTGCTACAAATGGGTAAGGGTCCTTTCCTCTTGTTTCATTCACAGCAAATAGAAAATTATTGCAGTGCTCTCAGGAGGCAAGCTAAGGAAGTAGGACAAGAGGCCAAAGCCATGCCCTTTGCCATCAAACACTCAGAGTCCAGACAGCCAGTAAACAGAACATCATCATATGATGTGGCATGGGTGAGCGAAGAGGAAAGCGTGGATGGCTCTGGGAGCACCCAGATGGCTGGGGTGGGAACTGGCCTTCTGGGGGCATTGCCTGTGCTAAGAGGAAAATTACCAAGCAGAAAAGGAGCAGAATAGGAAATTTCAAGCTGAGGGAACAGTGCGGGAAGGCAGATCATCTGTGTAAAGGAGCATGGCTCCTCTGACAAAGACGACACTGGAGAAGAAAGCAGGAGCTGCATCATGGAGGACGGCCATGTTGTCAGCTGTGAACCATACACAGAAGGTTCTGGAAAGTGCTGAAAGACTTGAAGAAGCTTTAAAGTCATATAATAATTATTATTACAGATGAAGAGATGAGATACTAACACTTAGGTGACTCTTTAATATAAATTGTTTTAAAGAGAGAATAAGTAATCAAAGAAGAAACAATTTATTCTAAAAAATAAAACTTTTTCCCTTATGCCCACCAACATTTCTAAGCCATGTATCTTCTATCTTACAACAATAATATAAGATCAATATCCCATTGCGCTTCTTATTTTATCTACTGCTACCCAGTTTCTCAACCATGTGGCCAATGTCTCCTACTCCCACACTCCTGCCCCAGACGTCCCCTGAACCTGCTTCAGTGAGACTTGTGTTCTCGAGATCCTACTATCCTACTTACATCCCTGAGATCTCGCAAGCATCTATGTTCCAAAAAAGTTATTTATCATTGTTACGAAATGGAAGCCATGTCAAGTGCTAGAGATGGAAGGAAATAAAATACTCATGAAAATATCCTCACATCCCAGGAGAGTATGGAATAGGAGAAAGGACAGATACTGCCCATTAATCAGTGGGCTCAAAACTCTCAATGCCACCAGCTCCAGAATGTCAAATCCTCCCTACAAAATGTCTACATAAGATGTCAGATATCTTATTCAGAATCATCACCTCTTTCATTGCCTGCCACTCCTGGTTCTCTGTGTATTTAGGCCAAAAGAGACTTCTCAGATGGGAAACTTAGCCCTTTTAATGATATCCTGTTTTCCCCACCAAAAACAAGGGAAAAGAAAAGTTTCTCACACCAAGAATTTGTAGGTATAGAGGAGAGGGGATCCCAGGCATTCGCGCACAGATGCTGGTGAATTTAAAATGTAGCTGACCCCATCAGCCACTGTGGTCTCAGACGCACTGCTTTCACCTCAGCCTCACTGTTTCTGTCCTTCTCAAACCATTGCTCCTCCTCTCCATATTCTTCTCTCCTTTTGCAAAGCCTTTCAACATTGCATGGCGGCCCTCAAAAATGACGTGCCCTGGAGATTTCAAACTTGCTTCTGCCATTTGTTCATGCACTGTGAGCAAGGACAGTCACTTTAACCACTCTGCACCTCAGATTCCTCCCACATAAAATAAGGATAATTATCAGGGCAATATTTTAAGGCAATTAATGAGTTTCCCTCTTTTGCATTTTTGTGTACATAATCTATGTAATCAATCTAAATTGCCCATCTGCTTTGTCTGGTGTGGAGGTAAGAAAATTAAGATAGGTCTTCAAGGAAAAAGGGAAGAATTATTATTACTGGGCAGATGATATGTAAAACAGGAATTCACAACCAGAAAATAGTATTGAAATACAGACTTTGTCAAGAAAGAAATTTTTCTAAATTCCTTTATTTCCTTCCTTTAATTTTATCCAGAGGTTGTTCTGGCATCATTGAAATTTTACTTTTGCATGTAGGGGGTCCCAATCTAATAAAAAGAAAAGAAATAGAGAAACCTGTCCATGATATCAGATGAAAGATGGAAGGTAGCAAGAAGGGACAGAGGTCATTCATCAGGAAATCCCTACTAGATGTCTTCAAGCCAAAGTTCCCGAGTAGAGGTGATGTGTTTACTAAATTAAAGATGATTCTCAGAACCAGTGTGGAGCTAGCTGCAGTAATTTGGGAAGAGTCTGTGTATTCCAACTTTGGTAACTGCCAATAGGGTTTTAGAGAAAGAGGTGGAATACACAAATGTTAAGGAAGTTGAAGTCCCAAGACTTGATGAATATCTAAGTATCTCTTCAGTTTACAAGTTCAGTCCTTAATATATGCTGCATTTGTTATTTTTGAGATCATTTTTTCTCAAATTCTTTCCTCAGCTGACTTGTATGCCATTATACTACACTATCTGTCGGCCCCCTCTGCCACGCTAAAGACATAGTGCATTTTTCATAGAATAATGGAAAAGAAATTAATAGAGGTGGAAATGGCCTGCTTTATTTCAGGACTAAGCTAGTGTTTACAGCCAGGTGACAATAAATTTTATAAGATTTTCATTAAGGTAAAAAAGCTGATAACACTCTTTTACCCTGGTAAAATAACTACAGTATTACACAAGCATATTGTACCATACATAACCCATGGCAAGTCAGATGACTTAGAATTGACAATTGACAATTCATCAGGATTTGCTGCAGAGTGTTGCAAGCACATTGCCATTAACAACTATTACCTGACTCTAGCCTGGTAATAAAAGAGGCTATCAACTGTTTTCTGTTTATTACATTAGTCAGCTTAATGATGGTGACAACCCCTGGCCTTTCCACAGAAAGTAAAGCTGTACAAAGCACTTTCTAGAATCTCATGGCATCCCATGATGCATGAGAAAGGCAGTAAGGTGCAATAGGACATGAATTTTACAAAGATACATACCTTCATACAATTCCAATGGGAGAATTGAAATGCAAAGAAGGTAAAGAAACTTGCAGTGTCCATGTAGGAAATAGGTTTTATTTCTCATAATCTGACCCCGCCTATGTCTCCCAAGATTACCCAAAGGCTGCTGACAGGAAGCTCCCTCCGTACCCTCGATGGGAGAGCTCTGTGTGGACAGCCCACTCTCAGGCTCTCCTCAGTCCCCCTTAACCACATGTGGTCTCTGTTGTTTCCAGCTGACCTCCATCCATCTTGGCAGACACATGTATTTGTGAGAACCCTCGTGGTCATGTCACTCAACTCCAACTTGCTTCCGCTATGGAAACAAGGAAGTTAACTAACCTGACCAAGTGAGGAGGACAGGGTACATGGGTCTGGAGACCCCGGAGCGGTGGGCAGAAGCTGCCTGGAACCCACACTGTCTCCCACCTCTGCTCTTCTTGTGCCACCTTTGCTGCCCCCTGGGACACAGCCTAGCAGGAACGCAACCACTGAGTGAGCTGACATTTTTAGCTTATGGATTTGGTCACTAAAATTTGACAAATCTCTTTTGTCCCAATTCTAGTTGCTCCAAGAAAAGAATCCGTTGGCCAGATCAGAGCAGAGTCCATTTCCAGACCAATCAACTGGACCAGAGAAGCTACAGCTAGGTCAAGTTATAGTTTTATAATAATTTCCATGTCAATAATTTAGTCAAAGATATAGGAAATTCGCAGAAAAGGGTATGGACAGAAAAGTTCAGGAGTTGGCCACAAAAAAAGACAAAAACACACAAACACTGTCACATTTGTT